TTGGTCTTCAGGACTTGGGTAAGCTTCCTATACTGAGGGTGTCAGGGACTCCACCAGTTGAAAGCTACCGATCCACTTGCCATATGAACTTAGTCTGGATTATGCCGCTTCATTGCAAATTATCCAGTCGTTCCTTTGTTATTGAAGTGATCAGTTTCAATATCAGACACTGGTGACCAATACAGAGGCATGATTGCGTTTGCCTTCACAAGAGTCGTGGAACTTAGGTTCTAGCTCTTTCAGATGCCTTGCACAATATTCTTATCTCAACTTTCCAATGACTCTTGTCCCTTATTATTCGACTAGAGTATCCAATAACTCCTCTACAGTCGGGAACATGGACCTCAAGTTGTCTCCAACTTGTCCAGTAGATATCTCTCATATATCCACTTCTTTGCGCAAAATGTCCTGTCACTTTATGCCGGTTCATCAGCTAGTAGGACGATATAGAGTATAACTCTTTGCGACGTCGACCGATTTGCTTGAGTCCAGTTGCATGGGCTCCGCAGAGGTCCCCTCTCATATATCCTGCGAACAGGTTCGGGTCAGACGGACGGCGACGATGTATTTGGTGTTATCGTGAGGCTGCCAAGTTTCCTTATATTAGTGTGGAGATGCAACTTTCGAAAATGCGGCAGATGACGTGCAGGGCCCACACTGAGGCCAGAGGGGGGTGTTGGCAATGCAGTTTCTCGTGTATGAGTACTGAATTCAGTAGGGTATTCATATATGCCTAACACGAGCTCCCTCCTCAAGAGTTCGTCTCGAATCTCAATTCTTCAAACTTCCTTTTAATTATCTTTTTAGAACTCAATATAGTAGGGTAAAAAACCCTACGCGTTTGCTCAGCCACTGCGGGAAAACCTTTCCTAATCATTCTACCTCAGCCCTATTCGGCATCTCCGGATTTTCTCTATGAAATCCTTCCACCAACTCCTAAGCATGCTCTAAGCTCTCAGGCGGTTCCCAGGTGTTCTCATCCTCAGAACAACCTTTCTACTTCACAAAATATCTTAGTTCGTGTATCCGCTTATTGCGTCCACAAACCTTTCTCGTATAAGAGATTATTTCACTCTTACCTATTCTTTCTACCTCCCATTCCAGATCGCCTTCGATCTCTTCTGGTTCAGGGGGAGGTTACTCTCATCCTGATTGAACTGATGCGCTGTAGGGCTCAAGTAATGATACGTGAAAGACAAGGTGAATGGACCATCGATCAGAAAGTTTAATCTTATAAGAAAGATTTCCTTTCCGTTCCAGTACTTCGAAAGGGCCGTAAAGTTTCGGACTCAACTTCTTTGTTGGCCGTTTGATTCCGATATTTTTGGCATTTAGCATTACTTTATCGCCTATCTTAATCTCCGGTTGCTGCTTTGCTTTCTGGTTATAGTACTGTGCCATTGCTTCCGTGGTTTGTTCAAGTATATCCCTTGCTTGCTTGTATATCGTTTGCATCCAGTGTACATAAATCGTAGCACCAGGATTTTGGGCCTCCTATTGCTTCATCCATTCTGTCTGGGGGTGAAACCCGTAGTTGGCATAGAATGGGGACATCTTATGAGCGTTGGTTGCTGAATTATTGTATGCATGTTTGGCAAGAGGAAGTAGCTGATACTAATCATCCTGATCGTAGTTGACAAACTTTTGTAAGTAACCTTCAAGCACTTGGTTGGTTCTTTCAGTTTGTCCGTCAGTTTGCGGGTGGTATGCTGTCGACATCTTCCTCTTAATTCCCAATAATTTGCACAGAGATTCTCAGAACTCGCCCGAGAATTTGGCATCCATATCTGAAACGATCTCAGTGGGAAGTTCATGAAGTTTCCATACTTCGTGGAGAAAAACAGAAGCTACATCTTTAGCGGTCGCGTTTTTGCTTAAACCAATGAAGTGGGCCATTTTGATGAATTGGTTGACGACAACCATGATTTGGGTGTGTTCTTGGGATTCCGGTAGGCAGGTGATGAAGTCTGTGGAGATAGATGTCCAAGCCGCATATGGAACGTGTAGTGGCTGAAGTAGTCCATATCTCGTGTGTCGTGGCGATTTATTGTGTTGACATTCATCATATGACTTGACATAATCGTTTACCCACTCCGTTAAGCCTTTCCAGTAAAAATCTTGTTTGATTATTTCGACCGTTTTTTCTTGTCCAAAATGTCCCGCAACCTTTGAGTCACGGTAATCCTTCATGATTAACGTTTGAAGAGATTCACTAAAAACGGATGTATAATCGGTTCTTGTAGTACAAGAACCCATTGTCTACTTGCCATTGTTTGGGCAAGTTCTTTCCTTCCGCTTTAGGTTCTTCCAACTCTCGTTTTGTTAGGCAGAGACAACCTGATAGACTTCAGAGTTGTCTAGGCCGATCGAGATTCGTTTTTTATAGACGGAGATTGTCTAGGAAGGCTCGGACTTCACTCGTTTCGTTTATGACTACTCAGAGCGAAGTAAAGTAGGGTAAAGTAAAGTAAAATCGTAAGAACAATATTATATTGTTAAGGTCTCTTCTCCGTTGCTTGATGATGTCTAAAGCTTGGGAGGCACTTTGATATTTATATTCCGCGTCTGAGTGTTCGCAGACTACATCTAACTAACATACAACCATGTACCTTTTTCCAATATAACTCGCAACGTCGGGTTTTCTTCTAAGGTGCGAATACCTGGAGACCCTGAAAATCATCACACCCTCTTTGATAATTATAATGTGACTATTTGGAAGTCATGCTGTTTCCAATAGTAATTATCCGATGGTGAGAGTCTTTTTAGACAAATGGCCCAATTCTCAAGTCGAACTGTGTTGGCTCCAATCGTCTCCCTTGTCGACGAAATTATCAGTTTTGTCTGCGGGTTGCATCTGCGAAGATAGTTGTTATTACCGACTTTCTAGGTCATCTAACTTCAACTCTTCATAACTCCATACCCAACCGATAGATCTTTTCCAGAGGACTTCCTACTTGCCTGCAGGAAGCCTTTCCATAGGATTGGTAGATAATCCCTCGGTCGGTAACCCTTGGTTGCCGTGGGTAATAGGATTCTGGTTACTGTTACCGGTTTAGGAGTCACCCCTTTGGTTGCAGTATGTACCGGAACCTAGTTGTAACACTCCTTGAACTTCATTGGGTTCGATGGTAGTATTCTCAAGAGTTCCAGACTCTTCTGGTTATCGTAGGGTAGATGTGAATGTATTGGTCTTTCATTAAGATCCTTTACTATTCATCATCATCTCTTTACGCGAAAACGTCCCGTTACTTACGGCCTATGCCGAAGATATCTCGTTCTTGAAGCCTAGTAACTTTCTGGGTTGTTGACGGATTCACTCCGTTATACTTCCCAGACCTAGCCGAAGGTCCCCTCTTATATATCCTGCGAACAGGATCCGGTCGGATGGACGCCGGCGACGTATACGGTGTTATTGTAACACCTTCGATTCTGTGGTATAATACTCACAGGACGCAACTTAGATCGATATGTATGATGACGCGCAGGCCCCATAAGGGGGCCGGAGGGGGGTGTTGGAGACCTGAGATTTCAATTTCGGGAGAGGTTACCCTACCTAGGGTGGTTCCTAGGTATCGGATCTCGGTATTCCTAACACGTTTTCTCTCTTTCCAATCTCTATCTAGGTTCACAGCCTCTTGAACTTCGTTTAAGAATTCTACTGCAAACCTTCTCATATCTACCTTTGCCAAAACCGCATTTGACAACAGTATTGATTCTTTTAATAATTGTGGATGGGTTTCCAAATCTGTATCATCGAAGTATTCATTTTCATCTTGATCAGCTTGTAGGAAATATACCTTCGGGTATGATTCCTTACTCTGAAGTGTTTGGGTATCTATTTTGTCGGTACTCCCAAATCCGTGATTCGCTCTTTCGGTCTCAATTAGTTAATTGACTTCCATCATATCGGAGTCGTTAATTGATGTGATAATAATTTGAGCAATGCGGTCACCCTTTTGTATTTGGTAGTTCATGGTCCCCTGGTTTCGTAGTAAAACCTTGAGATCTCCAGTATAATCTGCATCGATTACTCCTGCACCAACCTCAACATTATGTTTGCTTGCAAGCCCGCTTCGTGATGCAATTCTGCCATAAGTACCTCTTGGTAAACTTATCGCTATTCCCGTCAGAACCAATAGTTGTCCGTTCGCCAGTAGTAGTAATTCCTCCAATGTATACAGGTCATGTCCTGCCGCCATTCTGAATCCTTTTGTCGGTAATTTCACTTCCTTACTAAGCCTCTTAACTCTGATTACCGGCTCTTCGTTTGTGACCTCCTTCAGGTCAAACTTTTCCTTCAAGCCTTGAATCATAAATACGAAATGTTCAAGCTTCAGAACAGACTGTTCGCTATGCGCAGCTCCCTCCTCAGGACAGTACTCCGGCTGTTTGCTCAAAGCATCAGGCTTCTCTCCTCGGGTTCCTGGTCGATAAACAATTTTGAAGTTGTATTCCGCTAATGCTTGCGTCTATCTGATTTGTCTTCCATTCCATTTCTTCGTAGTAAGGAAATGTTGTAAATTTTGATGATCGGTATACACTGTAATTTGTTTTTCCAATCCCAATAAATAGTATCTCCACTCCTTAAAAGCTTCCATTATAGCCAATAACTCTTTATCATGGATTTCGTAATTCCTTTCTGCCGAGTTAAGCTTTTGTGAATGGAAGACAACTGAGTATAATTTTCGCTCAATAAATTGCAATAAGATACACCCCAATGCGAAATCTCTCCCATCTGTTTCCACTACCGTTTCCAGGTTTGGGTTAAAATGACATAGTATAGGAGCTGTAACAAATCGTTCTTTCAGTTCCTCGAACGCTTCGTTTTGTTCTGGCCCCCAGTGGAAATCCTTCGGATCTCCTTTTAACGTTTCGGTAATAGGTTTGCAAATTCCAGAAAAATTCTGTTTGAATCTTCGGTAGAAGTTTGCAAATCCAATAAAAATTTGGACCTCCCTTACTGATTCTGGAGCTTTCAATTCTTGTATGAATTTAACCTTTCACTCACTCATTGTAACTCCTTTGGTATTCACAATGTATCCTAAAAACTCGACCTTGATAGTATGGAAAACTGATTTCTCCGCATTTACTGCGAGCTTGTATTCTGTCAGTCGCTGTAGTACCTTTCGTACCAGTTTGATGTCATCTTTCTCGTTTTCAGAATAGATGAGAATATCATCTAGGTATACTACAACTCCTTGGTCAAGGAATTCTCTTAGGACTTTGTGTATCATGGCTTGAAATGTCACTGGTGCGTTGACGAGTCCGAAAGGCATTACTATGTATTCGTAGTGTCCGTAACGACATCAAAAAGCTGTTTTCCACTTGTCTCCTTCTGCTATTCTTACTAGATAATAGCTCTTCTTTAAGTCCATTTTCAAGAATATTCCAGATCCTTCGACTCGCTCTCTCAATTCCCTCATAATAGGTATTGGGTATTTGTTTACTATAGTGACTTTGTTTAGTTCTCTATAGTTAACCACTAGTCGTAATTTTCCATTGGCCTTTGGTACAAATAGGACTGGGGCTCCTACTAGTGATTGACTTGGTCGAATCTTGCCCTACCGTAGCATCTCATCAAGGTAACATCTTAGTTCCTTGAATTGCATTGCTGATAAAGGATATATTGGGCCCCATGGTGGTTCCTCATTTTCTTTTATCTTAATCTCATGATCCCATGACCGCCTTGGCGGCATCTGCGTTGCTATTTCATCCTGAAATAGTGGAAGATAATCATGATACTGTTTAAGAATACTATCAAGTGAGGTAGGTAGGGGCTTGTCGATACGTTGTATGTGTCTGACAATCTGCGCTTCTTCCTCAAGTGCTACATCCTCATCATATTCAAACATATCCGCTATTCCTTCATCTTCGGTATACATCTCGCATCCCTTTCCATCGAATCTCCAATTCTCTGGTGTTTCCTTATTTGATATGGGATGATCTCGACACCATCCTGTTGGGACTATGAGATCATATTTCCCTGATCCGGCCACTTCGCAGGATATTTCCGAATAGTGGCCGTTCTTTCCAATCTCTAAAGTGATTGGGTGAGTGTAGTGTCTTCCGCCACTGCTCGTGCCATCAAATCCTACTATCATGGTGGCAACCTTTCGAGTAGCGTAGGGAATATCAAATTTCTTAACGAGTTTGGCGTTAATAAGAAAAATATTTGAACCGGAATCTAATAACACGTGAATCCGGATTCTTCTTCCATCAACTTCAATGTATGCATTGCCTTCGGGACAATTATAACGTTCGGGTTTCGGTATATCGGTTTTTAACCGTTTCCCAACCGCAAAGGTTGAGTCTGACTTTTGTTTGAGTGACATGTTGGGTGTTTGATACCACGCCAGCGTAGTTTCACTCATTTAGAGCTCCTCAGCCAAACTATTCCCGTTAGCATAATATAGTAGGAGTTCATAACTTAATTTCCTTAAATTTGTTTTCGGGCAGCCCACTACGAGCGGTCTTTACCCCTTCCCGAAGGGTTCCCAACAACGCGTTCTTATATACCTTGGAAAGTATTTTCCTCTCTAACGCGCCCATTCGTGGGGGTCTCCGCGATTCGTTCTGATGGGTATGAGATGTTGCCGGTTACGTAGGGCTGACCGGCCACCTCATTCCATCTTCCCGCGCTTTTAATCCACCCTCGTGTTCTCTTTCAGTATCCTTCGATCCAGCCACCATTCGGTACTATCTACCCCATATCCAAGGAAGAGTGCCTCGTCTGGTAGGTCTAGAGCCTTGTATTCCTACTTGGAATCAAAGTATGCCTCGCTAGCCCTTCAAGGTTTCGACCGAGTCCCTACTGGAGCTCCCTCCGGTGACTGAAACGAATTCGTTCGTCTAATCGAGATTTGCCCTTATCGGAGGCTTTCTGATTCTGGGCTACGGGCCTAACTACCACCAATCTTTCGCCCTTTGGTGAATTGGTGGATTCTACCATCGTAGCGGAACAAAGACAATTAGAGGCGCTAAGACGTGTACGTCTATACTTTTAGTATGGAGCCTCGGTTGCTGCATCGCATAACAGATTCCCGCGCTAACCGATGGGAGAATATCCTCGCTTAGACGGTAACTCCCCAATATTTCGTTTCCTGATTTTAATCAGAATACCCACTCGCCGTTGCCGATGGCGCCATTTAACATCTCCCGGGGTCTGACAATTCCCTCTCCTTTCAGCCTTGGATAGCGAAGAGGTGTCCTCTCCTAGAAGTTCACGCTTCCCACGTACACTATCACTAAAGCGCGGTCAATCTGTCTTCCCAAGGGTTCTATTCCTCATGATCGGACAAGTCCCATACCCGAGTAGCTCTTGGAGCGGCTTGGGCTCTCATAACTTGGCCTTCTCGGTTGGGTTCTCCTTTCCCAACTATCAGATTTGCCCGGGGTCGGCCAGGGTTTCTGTTTCGTTGTTGGGCGTTCCGATCCTCCTTTCTCGTTTTCTCCCAAGGTGCTCGTTGAGCCACTGTTACTTGGGCTTCCTTTCTACACGTCTTCCATTTGTGGTTTGTCATACCACAACGAGTACATCCACTTTCTTTCTTCCTCTTATTGATGAGGTCTTGCGGGATGCCTTGGTGCATTTTTTCCCACTCAGAAAGTCCTTTCGGTTTGGATGTCTCGCGGGGCTTGTCTTGTCGTTTTGTGGCCTTGTAGGCCGCTTTCTCGGCTTTCGTGTAAGTCTTCTTTCGCTTTGAAGACTTATCGGTACGTTTTCCTTCGTCCGAGCTTTTTCTCTTGCTACCACTACCTGCGGCAGAACTTGGTGTTGAATCGATTTTCTGTCCTACTAGGTAGTGCTCGTATCGTTTTCCGCATGTCTCTAATGCGGCTTCCCATTCTTCTACTATGTCATATTGCTCTAATGACATTCTGTCGAGTAACGCACGGGGAAGTTTTCCTTCGAGATTTCTCCGCCAAGTAACTCCGGTCTGCACAACCAAGATGTTTAGGTTTCTCATTTCGATCAGGAAGGTAGAAATATCTCCGCCATATTTCACCGTCTCCATTTTTCGAAGTGCCTGTCGATCCTCTTCGGTGTTGGCATACCGTCGGGTTATTTCTTGACGGAACCTTTCCCATTTCTTTAGGCCTTCAACCTTCTTGTAGCCTAACTCTCCCGTCATGGCTAGCCGATACCAGTTGGTGAAGGCTCCTAGTTTTTCCCCATCCGTTCGGCTCATCGCATAACAGATGCAATCCTTACCTTTGCTCCACATGTGTTTATTTCGTCCGAAATAGTCCTCACATTGGATCAACCATAGTTTGACGTTTTGGTAAGATTTCGCCTTAAAAATGAATGGTTGTTCGGCATGTTTTTTAGAGTTTGACATCATGCCTCTTCCTACCGCTTCGCCCAGGATCATTATCCTGTCCCAGTCCTCGTTGTCTTTGAGGTTCAATCCTGGAGGTTTCGGCGGTCGCTCTTTCTTTCCTACTTTCCAATGGCGATCGCTATCGTCAAAGGTACCATCGCTTGACGAACTACCATCGTCATCATCGGGGGGTCCGTCTGGCGGTATTCCGACGTTTCCTGGTGGATCCCTGTTTCTACCGTTTCCATTGTTCCCGCCCGCTGGGCCTGGGTCGCCATCCAATGGGGCTCGTCCCTTTCCCTTTTCTTCCTGGGATGGCCTCTCGGGAGGTGGCATTTCTACCACACTAGCAGTTGGGCGAGCATCGCCTACTGCTACCTGCTCAACGTTGTCGAGTAATCCAGCCATCTGGGCTCGCATTTCTGCCAATTCGGCATCGCGTCGTTGGTCCAACTCTCTTTGGACTCGTTGGCCGCGTTCTGCCGCTTCTTTCTGGTTTCTGGCCTCTTGTACCAGCTGATCTCGGTGGTCTTGGAGTTCCTTCAACTCACGTTCCAACACTCTATCTCTCGCTAGAGATTGTCGTTCGCTTGTGCCAATGTTGATGTGTAATTGTTCACTTACACTGGCTTGTTGTACGTGTTGAGCAGCGGATCGTTCCAACCCAGCAGCTACTCGGTCCAAGTATTTCTGCTGTGTATCCATCACTGACCGTTCCAGTTGAGCAGGTTGTGATGTCCAGCTTGCGGCTTCCTCCTTGCTAACTATCTCCCCTAAAGTTAGGCGAGTTTTTACATTAAGGAGTTCCTTTGCCAGGATTTGGTCATTGTCAGATAACTCCCGTACCGCAACGTTCTGGACGTTCGTGGATTCCTTCAGATCCCATTTCAAAGTTGCCATAGCTTTACCCATTCTGCGGGCTAGTCTGACAACATCCTCCTCACTCGCAGCATTCGACCGTGTTGGTATTGGTGTGCAGGTTCTTGCCGGTGGTTTTGCTATTTTAGTCAGAGCGTCCGTCGCTCTTCCTCAGTGAAAGGGCAACGATCGTAGCCTTCGTAGGCTCCCGCTGCTGTGTGATCTAGCCATTGGGATATCATCCGTATGCGTTGATTCTTCTTCGGATAGATCTCCGAGCGTGTCATCCCTCCTCTCAAGGTCATCTTCCTTTCTCCTAATTTCTTCAACGGCATCCTCCATTTCTTCATCCACCGGCTTCTCCGGCTGAGTCTTCTTTGGAAAAAGAGAGACTGGTTGGACTGGGAAATGTGGTCTCGTATTTTTAAACAAGGCCGACAATGAGGATTCGTTATCCGTCATGATTACTTCCAATTAGCAGAGCAGTCTTAGTATGACCAACCTTCTGGTCTTAAATAGGTCTCGTCCGAGACGTTAGACCACTCTGAATCGTATTTGGTGGGGTCGTCGGAGAATGGGTGCCACTTAAAATCGGCACCGTAGAGTTGAGCGTATATTTGCTTGAAGTCTTCTTCCTCGAATCTCAAGGCAGGATTTGTAAAGTATGAGGGTTCGTCACTGCAAAGCAGTCCTAATATTTCGTCGATTGTAAACAATGAGTCCCAGTAGACACAAAGATCGAGAAATGGTGTATCGTCAGGAAAAAGTATATCTTCGAATAAACTTGCACAAAGGTCGACTTGGTCTGTCTTTGGCTCGAAGATTGAATCCAGTTTGTATGATTGTTTATAGCCTCGGTGACAAGGAGACTATCAATATAGTGTTACGGGTAGTCAACTTCAATAGTATAACTAGGCGTATAGGTATTCGATAACAGAGTAATATCAGGAAGGCTTGACAAGGTACTCGGTTCGCTAAAACTACTAAGAGTAAAGAGTAAGGAATAAAGTTTGTATCGAAATTTCTTGTAAAACAATGTTATATTGATAAGGTCTCCTCTCCATTGCTGTGTTCTGTAAAAGCTGGGGAGGAACTCGTATATTTATATCCCGCGTGAGTTTCCGTGGCCAGTACATCAAACTCGTATACTAACTAAGTACCTCCACACAACTTCTACGGTCATCGACCTTATTCATTCAGGTGTGAACTCTCTCGACCCTGAGAATCCTCATGTGCTTTGGTCTTCGGGACTTGGGTAAGCTTCCTATACAGAGGGTGTCAGGGACTCCGCCAGTTGAAAGCTATCGATCCCCTTGCCATATGAACTTAGTCTGGATTATGCCACTTCATTGCAAATTATCCAGTCGTTCCTTTGTTATTGAAGTGATCAGTTTCAATATCAGACACTGGTGACCAACGTAGAGGCATGACTGCGTTTGCCTTCACAAGAGTCGTGGAGCTTGGGTTCCAGCGCTTTCAGATGCCTTGCACAATATTCTTATCTCAACTTTCCAATGACTCTTGCCCGTCTTTATTCGACTAGAGTATCCAATAACTCCTCTACAGTCAGGAATGTGGACCTCAAGTTGTCTCCAACTTGTCCAGTAGATATCTCTCATATATCCACTTCTTTGCATAAAATGTCCTGCCACTTTATGCCGGTTCATCAGCTAGTAGGACGATATAGAATATAACTCTTTGCAATGTAGACCAATTTGCTTGATTCCAGTTGCATGAGCTCCACAGAGGTCTCCTCTCATATATCCTGCGAACAGGTTCGGGTCGGACGGACGGTGATGACGTATTTGGTGTTATTGTGAGGCTGCCAATTTTCCTTAGATTAGTATGGGAACGTGTCACGAATGTGGCTTAGCGAGGAAAGGGTTTTCACATGACTCATAGTTATGAGTCACAGGTATGTTATTGTTTCACACATATGACTCATTCGGGTCATATGATTTGTTATGTGTGGGATTTGTGATGCTTTTGTACATGGCTCAAATATGAGTCATGGGACATACACAGGGGGAGTGTGCCTTGCGAGTGTACCTTATAAGTATGCCTTGCGGGTAAGCCTTACACATATGATTTATGTTTCGCACATATGACTCGGTCGAGTCATATGATTAGTTTATTGTATTATGATCGGTTTATGAGTTTTTCACACATGACCTTACTATGAGGTCATGGGGTTTAAATACGTAACCATGTTGGTCACATGATTAGTTTATAAAGATTTTGTTTTTCACATGTGACCACTTTAGGTCACATGACTACGGGCGGAAGAACACTATATAAGGAGGCCGATTTGGCCGAGGAGGATAGGTTCTTCACGCTTTGTTCTAAGTACTTTTCCTACATATTACTTTAACAAATATAAAACACCTTTACGATCTTTATCTTTACTACAACCTTATTGTTATGCCGAGGAAGGCTCATCACGAAGATGAGTTAGAGAAAGCTTACGATAGGCGTTCCCGATAGAAGACAATGGTCTTATACTATTGGTAACGTAGGCAGAGGCCTGGAGCTATCATAAGACAAAGGAAAGAAAGAGACAGAAATGAGAAGTATCATTCCCCATCGCCAAGAACTAACTATTCATAGAGGGATCGTTACATTACAAAGCGTCACCTAGTGCGACGCCAAACAATACAAGACCGCATCCTTCAACCCAGACAGGGAAGGAGATATTGACATCGATGATCAAAATCTTAATCTAGGAGGATTCAGCGACGCCCTGGATCATGTCTCAGCAGAACCCTCGAGAGCAGCAAGCCCAGTAACCCCAGAGAAAGGATCACCAGTCGATAGCTCTCTTGCTGGAACTCCACGACCCGAGAGAATGTCGGGATCTGCAGTACCTGGGCCACCGGCCCCAGCTGTTCCGGCACCAGGAACTAGCATACTTAGGATGACTGAAAATCAGTTACAGGCATTTCTCGCAGCAACAAAAAACACAGGACAAGGCAACATCCAACGACCAAAAGCAAAGGAGCCCGACACATATGAAGAAGCTGAAGATATGCTACGAATATTCTTAGTGCAATGTGAGGGATATTTTGCTGTTAAGGGATACGGAGACCACCATGATGAAATTAAGATTCCATATGTGGAATCTCTACTCAGAGGACTCGCGGGACAATGGATTATGCCCTTCCAAGATGGAAGGAAGCAGAGAGAATGAGTCACATACGAGGAGTTTAAGGCAACACTTTTCGAGCAATTTGGAGATCTAAATGCCAAAGAAACTACAAGACGAAAGCTGGAAAAACTCCAACAAGAAAAACAAACATTCTCGGCATACTGGAACGAATGCTGACTATTGGAATACGAGGCTGAATTTGATGATGCTACTCTCTATATCATCCTTCTGAGAAACTGCAGCGAGAGACTCCGAGATGCATGGGGAATCTCAGACTTGCACTATACTACAGCAGAACGATTTGCAAGATGGACTGTTGATAAGGAAAGCAAACTAAACATGGTTCGAAGAAACTCAGAAAACACTGTCGCACATAGGGTGGTCCAATCATCCAGGAATGTGGATGGGACCTTCAAACCACAAGCAGCTCGTGGAGAAAGTCGAGCATTACCACCACGCGAGCCAATGGAATTAGACAAATCAAGAGCAGGACCTGCTCTGAACCTGTCTAAGGAAGAATACACCAGAAGAATGAACGGAAAACTCTGCCTGAGATGCGGAGAAGCAGGACATTGGATACGAGAATGCAGAAGCCGACCCGACAGCGGATACCAAGGAACCAGAGCTGCTGGCAATAATTGCTTCCAAAGTCAAAAAAGGAGCAACATTTGTGAAATGATCACAGAAGATTCACCGGCGGAAAACGACGAGGATGCCCAGTAAATGGTGGTTTGGGACACCCAAGATGTGGACCTGGAAAACCCATCAAAGTAGCGAACTACTACACGGCACTACACACTCAAAGAGGAGAGGGAGATGGAGATCATGTGATGATCAAAACAAAGATATACAACAAAGAAAACAAAAAAACAACAATATATGCAATGCTCGACTCTGGAGCTACCGAAGACTTCATCGACAAAGAAATCTGCGACAAATACGGCCTCCACACCAAACAAGAAAAGAAAGCAAGACAAGTCTACCTAGCGGATGGAAAGCCAAGCGCTATGGGTCCCATAACCCATACAACGACAGTACCTATGGACATTGACAGTTATAGGGAAACGGCAACCTTCCAAGTGGCAAATCTTAAAAACCATAAGATAGTCCTAGGGATGCCATGGTTAAGAAAGCACAATCCGACGATCAATTAGAACGAGAATAAAATGACCTTTACCAGCGAACCATGTGCGACACGATTTCTCAATAGTTCACTTGTGGTTTACTCGACACCGATACGAGAAGCGGAAGAAGAAACTTTGCATGCAAAGTTTAATGAGATATGGTAAGATAAGAGAGTCTGGATACGAAGACTGGACCAAGAGGCAAGAGTGCCTACCAAGGGTTCCAAAGGGGCAGCAGGACACGACCTGTGTGCCAATGAAGAGATCAAGATACCTGCCAACGGACAAGTAATGATAAAGACAGGAATAGCCATCGGGCTACCAGAAGGCACCCATGGACAGATAGCACCCTCCAGTGGTCTAGCAGACAAACATCGACTCATGACCATGGCGGGTGTGATCGATGTCGACTATACAGGAGAAATCAAAGTGGACCTAGCCAACCTGGCTCAAGAGGACTACTAAGTCCAAAAAGGCGATCGTATGGCACAGTTGATAATCGAAAAAATCAACAATGAGGATCTACAAGAAGTAGATCAACTGGAAGAAACCACAAGTGGAGAAAAGGCATCTGGAAGTACAGACCAAAACCAGCCCGATATAACAACAAGAATCGAGATTAAAGAGATCACAGCACAAGCCTTTGGGAGGTACTATCGAAGAGGAGATACAACAGGTATTGTCAAATGGACATACGAAGACGAAAAAGCAGTCCTAGCAGAAATCAACATCAGCACAGAGCTAGCAATCCAGGATAAGAAATACCATAGCAAAAAGGGATGGAAAGAATTGGTTCCAAAAGAATACTATCAATTCACGAACCAATTCCAAGAAGGGGAAGCTACAGGGCTACCACCTCGAAGACCAGGAATCGATCATGAAATTCAGCTGGATAAAGACGAAAAAACATGAAAAACAAAGGAAATTCCCTACAAAAAATCATACCTACTAGGAGAAGCAGAGCTCGAAGAACTTAGGAAGTACATCGAGCAAAACCTAAAGTGAGGATGGATCAGGGACTCTTTCGCATCAGGGGGATCCCCAATATTATTCGTCAACAAGAAAGACGGAAAGATGAGACTTTGCGTGGACTACAGAGCCATCAATTGAGTTACCAAAAAGGATCGATATCCACTACCCTTGATTGGAGAAGCACTGGATAGACTACGGTCAGCAAAATACTTCACCAAACTTGACATCAAGGACGCATACCACAACATACGCATCAAGGCAGGAGACAAAGAGAAGACTACATTCGCCTCAAGATACGGAATGTTCGAATACTTGGTTGTGCCCTTCGGGCTAACCAATGCACCGGCTTCATTCCAGAGATGGATCAAGAGGGTACTCAATAAGTACCTCGACATATGCTACATCGTATACTTGGACCATGTACTCATATACTTGGAAAACATACGACAACACCAAAAGGACATTAGCAATA